ATAAATTTCACTAATATAAAGAATGGATAGCATACAATTTATGAATGATTATAAAATATACATACTGTTTGATATAAATTCCATATAGCCAATTAATTCTCATAGAATGATTTCATTGATTTTTGCCAAACTTATATCTGTAGCCAGTCTATGGTTGCAACTAAAGAACAAGTGTGGTTACTTAGAGTCAAAAAATATATATATAGTAAAATGTAATAAAATATTTAGAGAGTGATGAGTTTTGTTATTTTTTATTTATTTATTTATTTATTTTGAGTTGGAGTCTCACTCTGTCGCCCAGACTGGAGTGCAGTGGCCGCTCCCAGCCACTGCAGCCTCAACCCACTGGGCTCCGGCAATCCTTCCGCCTCAGCCTTCCAAGTAGCCAGAATTACAGGCATGCACTACCACGCCCAGCTGCGAGTTTTGTTATCTTTATTACTATTTGTTATCTTTGTTTTCAATAGACTTGTTTAACTGTAAGTTTGCAAATTTTATTTATTTAGTTATTTTTTGAGTTGGAGTCTTAATCTGTCCCCAAGGCTGGAGTGCAGTGGCATACTCATTGCCATTGCAGCCTCGACCTGCTGGGCTTAGGTGATCCTTCTGCCTCAGCCTTCTAAGTAGCTGGAACTACAGGCACTGCGCTACCACACCCTGTTGATTTTTTGATTTATTGTAGAGACAGGGTCTCACCAAGTTGCCCAGGCTGGTCTAGAATCCCTGGGCTCTCACCTCCTCCTCCCAAAATGTTGAAATTACAAGTCTGAGCCACTGCACCTGGCTAATTCTAGCATTAAATGAACGGAAGCAAAGAAGTTAGGATAGTGCTTGATGCATAGTAAGCACTACATAAGTGACAGGCAGAATTTTTATTACACTAATCTTATTCATTATTTATCTTTTTAAAAATAATCATATATATATTTTTTTGAGATGAGGTCTTATTATGTTGCCCAGGCTGTTCTCAAACTCCTGGGCTCAAGTGATCCTCTTGCCTCAGCCTCCCAAAGTGGTAGGATTACAGGTATAAGCCATCACACCCAGTCAAGATCATTTATATAATTTTTTTAAACCTATATTAAAATTGTAACTGGTATTTTATCCATCTCTGAGGAAATAATGATCAATAACCATCCACCTTTTCTTCTTTTTTTTTTTTTGAGTTGGAGTCTCACTCTGTCACCCAGACTGGAGTGCAGTGGCATGCTCCCGGCCACCACATCCTTGACCTGCTAGGCTCCGGCGATCCTTCCACCTCAGCCTTCCAAGTAGCCGGAACTACAGGCGTGTGCTACTCCGCCCAGCTGATTTTTTATTTATTGTAGAGACAAGGTCTTGCCAAGTTGCCCGGGCAGGTCTTGAACCCGCAGGCTCAGGCAATCCATGCGCCTTGGCCTCCCAAAGTGCTGGGATTACAGGCTGAGCCACCGAGCCCGGCCCACCTTTTCTTCTTTCTTTCTTTCTATCTTTCTTTCTTTCTCTCTTTCATAGAGATAGGGTCTCACTTTGTTTTCCAAACTAATCTCGAACTCCTGGACTCAAGAAATGCTCCTACCTTGGTCTCCCAAAATGCTGGGATTACAGGTGTGAGCCATTGCACCTAGCCCATCTTTTCTAAGATATCTTTTTCACACCTCTTCACATGTGTGACTTATGTGTTGTTCCTTATTATGTCTCTGTAACAGAATCATATTCTCTGTGGCTACTTAAAAAGTGATTTACAACTGACTCTAATGTCTGCCAAGTGAGAGGGGAACAGATATTTCAATATTATCCCCTAACTTATGTGGTAGTGCTGAGCTCAGGGAAATATGCAACAGTGGTTCTCTCACGAGACAAAGAGGTGTTGATATATATATGCTCATGGGAGCAAAAGTTAAAAATAAATAGAATGAAGATAAAGGCCTGGACTATAGTCCTGCTAACTGTTTGTTCACCTGCTTGTCTCCCCAACTAGACTTTGAGTTATTTGAGGGCAGGGACTATGTCCAATCCATTATTGGGCCTCCAATGCTTCTCCTGTCTTCTGGCAAACAACCAATCTAGTTTTAGATTCAACAACAGTATTTCTTTTTATAAGGCACTACAGAACTTTTCAAGGGCTCATGACAGTGAGCCTGTGGAAAAAAATATTTTTAAAAAAACTGAAATAAAAATAAGAAACTTTGTCCATAAATTCTAGCACTGTGTAAATATGATGTCAAATGTATTATTTATAAAAATGTCATTCGGTGTGAAAATAATTTGTGGGCTACATTTTCTCACTTAGCAAAAATTCCAGAGTACCTCTGATTTCTGGTAAATTTAGCCAATCATAAATTAAATGAGTTCCTGGAAGCACAACCATTTCAAAACCAAAATTATGACAGTCTTTTCAAAAATTTTATAACTAAAAGAGTGTATTTAATATGAATTCTGAGTGCATTTAAAGAAGACAGTGGCCAGGTGTGGTGGTTCACTCCTGTAATCCCAGCACTTTGGGAGGGAGAGGTGAGAAGACTGCCTGAGCCCATGGGTTCAAGACCAGCCTGGGAAATTTGGTGAGACCTCATCTCTACAATAAATAAAAAAATTAGCCGGGCATGGTGGCGCATGCCTATAGTTCCAGCTACTTGGAAGACTGAGGCGGAAGGATCACCTGAGCTCAGCGGGTTGAGGCTGCAGTGGCCGTGAGCGTGCCATTGCACTCTAGCCTGGGCCACAGAGTAAGACTCCAACTCAAAAAATAAAGAAAGACAAATCAAGAAGACAGTTATTTTATAGAATAGGGACTCCAGAATAAGAGTGCTCAGACTCAGATGGATTTATTGTTACTGTTATTTTTAGCCGGAGTCTCTCTCTGTCACCCAGGCTGGAGTGCTATCACAACTCACCAGAGCCTTGGACTCCTGCCTATCTTTCCACCTCTGCCTCCCTGGTGGCTGGGACTACAGGCACACCACTACACCTGGCTAAATTTTTAAATTTTTTTGTAGAGATAAGGTCTCCCTATGTTGTCTAGGCTGGTCTGGAACTCCTGGGCTCAAGCAATGCTCCTGCCACAGCCTCCCAAAGTGTTTGGGATTTTAGGCATGAGCCACTGCACCCACCCATAGTCACACTGATTTAATTCAGTTCTACCTACCCTCAAGAATCATTTTTGGGTCAGGTTTGGTGGCTCAGCTTGTAATCCCAGCACTTTGGGAAGCCAAGGCAAGTGGATTGTCTGAGCTCGCGGGTTCAAGACCAGCCCGGGCAACTTGGTAAGACCTCGTCTCTACAACAAATCAAAAATTAGCCAGGTGTGGTAGTGCTCGCCTGTAGTTCGGCTACTTGGAAGGCTGAGGCGGAAGACTTGTCAGAGTCTCCAGCAGGTTGACGCTAGGTTGACCGTGAGCGTACCACTGCACTCCAGCCTGGGCGACAGAGAGACTCCAACTCAAAAAAAAAGAATCCTTTTTTTTGGTGCTTATCTAAATGAACCATTCACTCTCTTCTGGATCCTCTTGAATCCTTGGGGCCATGGAGTGGAGTGGGCTCAGGACTCATCTGTTTACTTGTCTTTCCACAGTTGGACTCTGATTCCATCAAGAACAAGCCAGGTTTCAGTTTCCCTAGTGCTTACTGTAGGGTCTGGTGCACATATAGACACACACAAAATTAGTAAATGATGAATAAAAAGAAAGGGAGTCAAGATCCTCTTCTTGTCTTCTAGTTGAATGTATGTCTATCAGGAGCACACTCATCTTTCTTGTTTTCTTCTTTTGCATATATTGTTTGAACTGTGTGTTCATTCAACCAAGAAGAGAGCATACTCTACCTTAGGCAACGTGCCAGGCCTTGCACAGAAGAGGGACAGATGATTCAGCCTGATTAGGCTGTGACAGAGAAAAGCTTGGGGTTTGAGAGCACTGAGGAGGAGGAGACTGGCCCAGACTGGAGGCTTCCCAGGGAAATGAAGCTAAGTCCAGGAAGGACATTTGGGGAATAATGATTAGAGGTAAAAGGCTAAGAGTGGGGAGAAGTGAGACCCCAGCCCGAGAGAACAGTCTCCTAGATAACAAAAAATATCTTAGCGAACTTAGAGTTTAGAATTGGTGAAGGAGGGGACAATGCTGCTAATGAGATTAGAGAGAGATTTTGTAAACCATTTAGGATTGTCTTAAAGGCAGTGTTGGGAGGCCATTGAAGGTTTTAAACAGGACAGTGATATGATCAGATTTACATTTTAAAAAGATGACTGTCAACTGTGCAAAATAGTGGATGGGTTAGAGGCAGTGATGAATTCAGGGAAAACAGTTGAAAGTCTATTGCAGAAATCTGGGTGAGAGATGATGGTATCTTGGACTATGGTGGGTGGAAAGGAATGAAACACTAAGACACACAACTAGAAGAATCTCTCTGGCTGTGATGTAGAAGAATAAGGACGTGATTAGAGAGGTAAGGGAGGGTTCATTAATGAACTTGGGCTTTATTCTGAAGGGATAAAGGGAAAGCCATTTAACATTTTAACCACGGGACTGATCCATTCCGATATGGGTTTATAAATAGTTCACTTGGCAGAGGAGGGTGAGACGACCGTCACTACTGTGCATAGGTAAGAGCTTAGAGGAGTGGGAGCAGTGGATGTGGGGCGCGGGAGGCCGGAGCTAGGTTTACGACTCAGGTACGGAGCCAAGCTGTCAGAGACACAAGCAGACCCAGACAGACGCAGCCGCGGAACAGCTGCCGGAGGGGGGAGGGGCCCAGC